ACTAATGACGGTTTAACTTTGTAACTAAATAACAACTAGGACTAATGCAAAGCGAACTTTTTCTCAACATGTATTCTATCAAATTTCTACTCTAGTAGAATTTAATGACTTTCTAGAGAGTCATTACGTGTGGTAATTATCCATTTATAATGAAAGGGGCATTTATTTGAGTATATATTTGATATTCATTTTACATCAACAAAATAAACGGCTCAGATGAACAAACACCTTCCTAAAATAAATGTCCCTCGATTAACCTTTTGAAAAATAAATTTGAGAATTTAATAATGTAATAAAAATGATTTATTGTGGATATTTGCTATATAATTTTTTTAAATTAACTTTAAGGCACTCCAAATTTCTTTTCTATTCCTTCCATCTTCCTTTTATCATTTTTATTTTATATAATAATAAAATATTTCTTTAAAATACTAACAAACTATTTATGGTTAATATTTTAAAGGGCATAATGATTAAAACTAAACACTCAAGCTGGAAAATGCGTAGTTTGTCTCTCCTTTTGGTTAATAACACATTAAATCTTTCTTTCAATCTAATGTCATAGGTAGACTGGTCTCAACCATTCTTGAGTCATTATTAGAGAGGATATTGTCTCCACACTCCTATAAATAGTTTCCTTGTTCGAAGTTTTCAACTCTCGAACAGTATCATTTAACTGTAGTAAACGATAGAAAAGTTAACAAAAAGTGTGCATCAGATGTTAATAGATTGACGGCACAGTTTACATTACCATACAAAAAAAAATTTAAAAAAAATTTAAAAAAATAAATAAAAAATAAAAAAATTTAAAAAAAATTTTTTTAAATATGTGCGAGACTTTTTTTATTCCTTGTTTCGTTTTTTTTTTAAAGATCATCAGAGGAGGGTAAAAAAAAAATAAAAATAAAGTTTTGTTTTCTTATTTAGCAAATAGTTTTGTCAAAAACATCCAGATGAAGGAGAAAATAAAAATAAAATTTTATTGGTAAATGTAAACAGTGTAGTAATGGGATGGTTAAATGCTTTAAATTTATATAATTATGAAAAAAAATGTACATATCTTATCTTTGGAGATTTCAAGGGATAATAAAAATAAAGAAAAACTTTTATTTTTTTCTGAAATTTCCATTTATTTGTTGAGGCGGCTACGCTAATTGACCAAAAAAAAATTTCATTTTTATTTGAAATCATCATTATTTGCATGCGGCGGGTTCGCTAATCAAGGTATAAACAAAGTCTTGCCTATGGTAAAATTATCAATTTACTTCTGTATATTTGAAACCATCCCAAAAATGTGACCAAAAGAATTACATTGAGCTTTCAGTGGAATGTTTGACTGTATATTATGTCATATCTTTATTCATTCACAAATGCTTATTTCATCATTAGTTCCATAATGGCTGGCAATACGATATTTGTATTCCCAAAACAGTTCCAAGATAATTTCAATGTAAAGCATGTTTTTCTCTTGATGATAAATGATGGCCCTAGTGTGTGCTTAAGTAACATTAGGATTAACTAACAACTACTTTTTTTTCTTAGGTACAACAGCATCGAGTGCTTCATTGCTAACAGAAATTGATTAATCTAGTCTCGTTAATCAATGATATACGAGAGCAATGATTAAAAACTCCTTTTACCCAAGTCATTACTTTCAGAATGGTGACATAGAATACATTCAAGAATATACTAGAGAGAAGATATTATCAACATGCAGAACTAGAACAATAAAAATCAATACCATCCCCTTTTATTTTGAACGCCCTTAATTTTCACGGTGTTTAGAGGATTGTAAAAATTAACGGCGCAAGAAAATCAGAACAATTTTAATGAAATAATTATGAGCTTTTCCATTTTGAGAACTAGTAAAATAATATGATTTTCTTAATAATACATCAGATGCCTAAATAGACCTAAGGTCGTGAGATTTATTTGCGAGAGTTGTGAGAGTTATTTTGCATGCTTACCTGGGTCACTAACGTCAACACTAGAGAGCTGTGACATCATTTGACCTAAGATCCAATCAGCTTCTTCCAGAGCATTCTCTATGTGTGAAATAACCAAAAGCTGCAAGAAACAATAATGGAAATATCAGTTTGGAACAAAGAAATTGGATCAAGTGAATTCAATTACTTGGCAGCAAATAACATACTAGGCAGCTATGAATAACTAGTATAGTAAACAAGAAAATATAGGCCGCTGTCAGAATCATGCTGTCCCAACGCTATGCCAAATAAACTAAACTGTTCTATTTCGGAATGTTTGTTCCCTGTTCGGTACTTTCTTTGCTCAAGGGGTTTGCCGGTACTCGACAGTTAGTGAGCATATAATAATTCACCGATTGACTAATGACGTCGGTGTCTAGACTCGCGTGCTAAAAGGCATACAAGTGTATAAATAACCGGTAGAACCTTGTAAGACATCTATTCGGTTTTAGTTCACAAGTTAAATAAATAAAAAAATTAATAAATGGTTAATGCGTGTTGAACTGACCACTGTAATTAGAAATTTTTGAAAGACAAAAACACAATATGGAAAGACAAACATACAAAGACAGATGGAGCAGCTGTTCTTGGGTTGATAATGGCAAAGTTTGTTTTGTTGTCTACTTCAACATCTTCATCGATGTCGCCAAGCTGGCTGTGAATATCTTGTGAGATGTCGCGAGTCAGTTTAACGCCGCTCTTGATGCGAGTTGTGAGACTAAGCAGCAGTGATATCAGAGCTTTTGTCAAAACAACGTCATCTGAAATTAAAACAATTATACATTAAAACAAACATATGAATACCGGTAATAACATTATGGTTAATAATTATAATACTATTTTTTATTTTTTATCAGCCAACAATGGGTATATACCCACACCATAACTTTGAAGTAATTATTATTATTATAAAATATTATTAATATGCTTCATCTAAGCACTCTCCCTCTGATTTTAAAGGTTTGGAACAGACAACATACAAACTAAAATGAACCAAATTTAAAATAAATTGCATAAAAATTTAGAATAAAAAGACACAGCTCTGAGCTACCTAGACCAGGCTTTGTTTTGTATTGCAGGCCAGAATTCATGCTAATGGTGGTAGGCTTACATCCAGAGAACTACAGTACTATAAATAATATATGGAATAATAAACAATATTAATGAAGCAAAGTTACAAGGCTGACCTGGAGGTCAAAGATACTTCATAAGTAGAAACCTTGCAAAAAAAATAATTATATAATAATAATTATATTATTATATTATATTATAATTATATTATTATATTGATCTCACTTTGAAATAAGCGAGAAATGATTAGGAAACAATAAATAAACAAGAAAAAAACAAACAAACAAAAACGAAGAATGATTTAAAGAAGTTTTTTTTAATAATGTTTTATTTTATTATTTTATGTAGTATTAGCATTTATGAAAATGAACCATTTATAAGAACATGCTCTGCATGAAAATGCCATCCATTTAAAAAATGTTACAATAAATTAGTAACACTAATATTAATGAGTCTGTATTTTAGCAAACATTGCTTGCCATGGATTTAGGCGTAATGTAAATTTTGAACTCTGATTGATTGATATTTACATAGTTACTATATAAATATTATTTAGTGTTTCTCATCAAATGCTACCCACTTTGTTTAGTAAAAGGTCGCTCTACTACCATGAAATGCCAATATTATTGATTTTAAATCTAAGTTTATGCTTGCCTGTCTTTGACACATGTAGCAATATTAGTTTAACAGAAATTTGATTTATAGCTTTTTACTATTAATATTATTACACTAGTAGTAGTTTGACGCTGACCTATACCACAGCAGTAGTGCCACTTTCCATGACCTCACACCGAACCCCAGCACGATTGAAACAAACTTTTCCTATATTCATAATCTCTATTACTTACATGCCTGATGAATATTCATGACATAATTCCAAAAGGGGTTTTTTTTGGCATAATGTCAATTTTGAACTCTAATTGATTGATATTTACAGTTACTATATAAATATTATTTAGTGTTTGTCACCAAATGGTACCCTCTTTGTTTAGTAAAAGGTCGCTCTACTACCATGAAATGCCAATATTATTGACCATAAATCTAAGTTTATGTTTGCCTATCTTCGACACATGTAGCAATATTAGTTTAATTGAAATTTGATTGATAAGTTTTACTATTAATATTATTAGTAGTGGTTTGATGCTGACCTATAGTACAGTGGTGATGCCAGTTCCCAAACATGGGGTCAGAGGTCCTGACAAGTAGTAAAAGTTATTATTTGTATTCAATACAGGCCTAATGAATATTCAAGACATAATTAATAGTACCTGGATTGTTTTCTGCACAGACACGTAGCAACCATGAATACAGCTCTGTAAACTAAGGTGAAGAAAAGTAATTGAATGATAAACAAAAAATGAAGAAAAATCATAACCCCAGCAACCACATAGGAAATAATATTCTTAATGTAAAATACAAATCTATAAACCAAAAAAAAAAAGAGAGAATAATACAGTGATATAATAAAGGCAAATATAATTTAAACAGCAAAGTTAATCAAATTACCTGAGGCCGCTCTGCATCAAGAAGTCGGGCAAGAAAAGAAATTATTGTACACACATTCACTGCATCTTTCAAGTTCGCATCGTCGTCTTCAATTGTCAGAAAAGAAATCAGCAAACGCTACAAACAACGAAAGAGAGCTTGCATTATACTTTTAATAATTAAAAATTTCACTTCTTCAAAAAAGAATTGTATATGTAATTCAAATGTGATTTAAGAAAGTATGCATTGTATAGTATATTATTGAATTGAAGATTTTTTTGTAAAACCCGCTGTGATACAGTTTTCTGTTCAACTTTTTTAAACTTTGGGAATATACCCTTTGAAATCAGAAACACTTTCTTATCCTGTGTACATTTAGCTAATTGTCTAATCCTCTGACTATACTAGTATCATATAATATAATAATATTAGTATCATATAATATAATATAATAATAATGATATAACGGTCATATGATGAATATACAATGGTCATTCATATAATCAATCATAATAACATATATATTGTTTGCTATAATTACTACTTGAATTATTGCTAAGTTCATGAATCAACACGATTATCAATATGTGGCAAAGACAAGCCAAACTAGTCACTCGTCGCAAATCGTGTTTCAGAGAAAATGGCCAAAACATGCTGGAATGTCAAATTTTTAAAAATCTATTTTATTGCATTAAACTAACATTTATATATCTACACATCATTCTATGCTGTTATTTTCCCCATTTTCAATGTTAAAACAATACTTTTTAAGGATTTAAAGATAGTTTCTGCATGAGAAATGCCTGAAATCATAAACTTTGACGGTTAATTTCTCATATATTGTTCTTTAAACAGCTGTGTGGTTAAACGCTAATAACTTCATAAGGAAATGTCCGATTTGAATGATTTTTTTACCATTTTATAGCCATTATTTTACTCTCTAACACTGTATTAATAACTCAAAATCGATTATTGCGACGAGTGACTGGTTTGGCTTGTCTTTGCCACATATATGAGGCTTGCCATCCCAAAACCAGCGTACTGTCGCTAATTGTTAAACTGAGTAATCAGCATAAGGATATGGCAGTATTGTATACTTTAGTACAAAGAAGCTGTAATACTTTTACTCATAACTTTGGCAAATAGTAAGTTGATTCAAATAAATGACCCATTATTTTAAAGCTTAAATTGTGGAAGTCAAAAGAGTCAATTTTCATTTTTTGGTCGCTAATGCTGGTTTTGGGACAGCTAGCCTCAACATATGCTTTAAAACTTTTCCCAAAAACCAGCGTACTGTCGCTAATTGTTAAACTGAGTAATCAGCATAAGGATATGGCAGTATTGTATACTTTAGTACAAAGAAGCTGTAATACTTTTACTCATAACTTTGGCAAATAGTAAGTTGATTCAAATAAATGACCCATTATTTTAAAGCTTAAATTGTGGAAGTCAAAAGAGTCAATTTTCATTTTTTGGTCGCTATGCTGGTTTTGGGACAGCTAGCCTCAACATATGCTTTAAAACTTTTCCCAAAAATATAAGAGAAATCTTGAGATCAAAAGTTCTAATGAGAAATGTTTTAAAGTTCAATTTTACTAAGATTGTATCATATTCTGCTTCAGCAAACACTGTTTCAAATATAAGTTCACCGACATTAAAAGGTAATTGAAAATTGCAAATTAACGTGGATAGGATCTCAAATATAGTATCGTATATCAAAAGCTCTCTACTTATTTTTCCATATTATCCAACCACAGCGATTGCATGGATTACTTCCTTTGGATATATGTTATTATCAAATATGTACTCAAAGAACTTGATTAGTTTTAAAAAAAATATAATTCTAATACATAAAAAAAAAGCATCAAATACTTGATAGGAAAAAATGAGGTTTGATACATTAAAAATCTACAACTGAGATCACATAACTGGGACCCCATTGAAAGTTAAGTTTTGTCCACACTATCAACATTCATGTGACCTGTTTTTTGTGATGTGCCCATATATGGGCATGATGATGTCATATTACACCCAAATATGGGCATATAACAGTTTTTTTTGTCAAATAAAAGTGTGGAAAAAGCTTTAGTTCTTTTTAATAATCAAAACCAATTTAATGGGTTATCCCGATTTTTTTTTTCTGTGAAAATGTTTTGCATAGCAATTTTTTTTTAATACTCTAAATGAGTATCAAACAGTTAATCAATCAATCAATTTTACGAGTTGTATTAATTAAAGAAACCAGATGAAGTTTTCACAATTAAAGTAACATGGCTGTTATCACTACTATTATGATTATTAATACCTGAAATTTCTTGATGTAAGCATGGATTTGCTCTTGTACGTTGTCATCAACTTTGTCACATTCAACGTCCACGAGGTCAAGGAACTCTCGGATCTTACTTGGATATCTTGTGCATACGATATGTATGATGGTAGTCAGCGACTCCAAGCATTGTTGTGAAACTGACTTGCTCTTAAAAATAGAACTGACAGTTATTTTATTTATAATTTGATTCAAGTAAGTTATAATTTTGTACAAAAATAACCATAAATATATAATAAATAATAAATGTTTGCCAAAAATAATTATTCCCTTTGCAAATAAACAAAACAATTTATCTACAAGGCAGAATGTAACAAAGTAGGATTCCAGTCGGTCAGGAGATATCTTTTTTTTTATTATTATTATTATTAAAGGACTGCTTTCTCATTTGTATCTTTTATTATATATTCAAAATGTATAACTATTAATACAATTCACAATTTTCTTTCAAAAACCATGGAAATTTATCTTATACATAGGGCATTGCTTCCTATGATATCTAACTATGTAGCGGTAAAAACATTCCGTATATAGATCAATTTCAAAACCATACAAAAATGATATAACAAATACAAAAAACATCTCATCACCATTTCAGTTTTTCATGCCTACTTATATTCAAACATCACTAATTGAGAGAGCACTGCAGATAAACTTGCCTTAGGCCTAGACCCTGAGTGCACAGGCATTAAATAGCACTTTCATAATTCTGATTTTTTATGTTTCACGGTCAATAAATTTCAGATCAGGTAAAATAGTAGCAATATGATTATTGATGTTAATATCATAGTCATACTTCAGTAAATGTTTAAAATTATAATATATAAAATTTAAAATTGTAATATATAAAATGAATAGGGATATGGTCGATGAGTAGTGTTATCATAAAACACAAATATATTTGAAATGACTCACTTCATAATAATCTGATTTTGTAATAATTGTCTTTTATAAATCTCTGTATTTCTATCTATTTATTAGTTACCTTGTCTTTCTTTTGGTTCTCAATAGTTGGTGTTATAACTTGCTGTAGGAAGACTCTGAAAATTATGTAAATATTGATGTCAATTAAACAATATACATTAAAGCTTGCGGTACACCACGTAGATAGTTCTGAAAAGAACTGTTGTTAGTTGAGATACAAAAACATACAAATAAGAATAACAATAATGTTTATTATTTTTAATGACAATATTAATGTTAAAATAGATTTATACAGCATCTTTTAACTTAGAATGCAAGGTGCATCCCTAAACTAATTAAACGAATTTAAAAGACAAAAATTAAAAATAGATTGATTTACATAATTGAATATTGATATAGAAAGGTTGAGAAACAAAAATGACAACACATTAACAATGAAACACAACCACATAATTTACCTAGCTAATGTTGAACAGTAAATGAAGACCTTGTCTTTGTTCGTCCCCTCGGGGCAATCACACTGCCCTTTAGTGTCAACTTGATGTATCTTTTGTTGCGTCACTAAAAGCATGTGTTGAACAAAGTCCGTATTTTGTCTCAGGCTTGTCAACCCCTCATCATGCGAAGGACTGTTTAAACTGAAAATGAAAAACAGTCAATTTCATCAACTAACCATTAGCTATATTTACAAGGTATGTTTGGTTGGTAACTTTGTTTTAATTTGAGTTTATACATATTTATTTTATACTTACAAAAAAAAAAACTAAACTCATGGTGGGTTTATTCGAGGAAGGTGTTTGTTCTGTTCTAGAGGGCAGTATACTAGAATTTAAAATGGCGTTGAAAGCAGCATGTTAGTTTATATGGATTGGATGGCAAAGTTTTATCTTCATATAGTAGGCCAATATGTCAGTTATTTATTTTAATATGTTACCAAAATCCAGTAATATTAAAAATCAAGACATACAATACAGAATTACTGCATCCAAAAATTTACAATGCACTTACCTGAAGAGTGCCCTCATAGCCTCTGTGACAAATTTTATTGATAGTAGACTCCTTGCAGTATCTTTTCCTTTCTTTGCTTCAGTCTTCTCTTTCAGCACACCAGACAGTGTGGAATAATTTTTATATAGCTGAAGCAACTGTTCACATCGTGTTGAACTGTAAAAAGAAGTTACTAAAACATTAATATTAAGCTCCATTCACACAAGCATTGCATAAGTTTTGTGTGACAAATATCTGTGACCATCATGACCATATATTGGAATATCAGAGATATTTTGTCACAAAGTAGTACAGTGCTGTCCTGTGAATGTCACCATTAGAATTCTCTTAAGACTTAAGCTCTGTTCACACTATCAAATTTTATGTGACAAATTTGTGTGATGCCCCAATATATATGCAAATTATGATGTAATATTACACCCAAATATGGGCATATCACATTCTTTTTGTCACATAAGATTTGAGAGTGAGGACTGTATATGCAAACCATTATATTTCCAATTTATTATTCTAGGTTTGTTGGTCAGCTCAATAACATAATGATTACCTATAATCTCCATTGCCAATCACATACTCCATAAGAACTTCGTATATACCAAGGACAAGTATCGCAAATATGTTGTTACGAACTCCGACCCCATGATCCATTGAGTAATCTGCTGACTTATCCTATCAACAGATGATAAAGAATTCTAAAATGTGAAAGTCAAGTTATAATGGGCATGTCAAGGAGGTAAAGGGGGGGGGGGGCGCTTAGAAAAAATACTCTTAAACTTGAGGGAGCTTTCGAATTGTGCGACGACGCGACGCTAGAACGGAATCACTCGTGTGTGACCGTGACAGTCCTACTTGGCGTCCTACTTTCCCTGCCGTACGTAGATTTGGCCAAATTGCGTTCTATAATCTACTTGACAAGGTGACCTTAACATTCTTGCATGCGCAGATGACTTTTAGTGACGTCATTACGTTCTACGTCCTACCGTCGTCATGCAATCGAAAGCTCTCTATTGTTAAATGGTGGGCAATGAAAAAAGGCATTGGAATTTAAAAATTGTATTTTCTTACAAGTTCAAAGTCTTCCATCTCGCTACTGATCATTCTCGTAGCTAACGACTTTAAAACGCCGTCCAATTTATCCACAAGTTTCTCAACATTTACATTTTCCTCCTCGTCTTCCTGACCTCGTCTCTTGCAAAACAATAAACTTTGACCCAATGCCATCAAAAGATGTGTCTGAAAATAGTTGTAGATCTTTACTCAACACACAGAAAATAATTTCAGGAATTCTGAGAGAAATTCTGATTTCGAACTATTTTAACAGTAAAATAGTAAAAGAACTTATATAAAAATATATAAATACTAATAAAGGTCATTAGAAAATTGTCCATTGCAATGGTTATTAATTTGAAATATTATGTTTATAGACAGAAAAATAACTGTTGCTAGTGGAAGAATGGAAAGGCTTTAAAGTTTCAAGCACAGTTTCAAAATTCATCCCCCATCCACAAAAAAAGCATACAAGTATATTTTATTTTAAACATTTTTCTTTTCATTGGCATATCATCAAATATTATTCTCATTACTATGTTCATACTTGATAGCACATGATGTTAAGCTTCAGTGCGTTTCATGTTATTATCCCAGTCACTGGAATAAAACACAATAATAAAACTCCCTTCCCTAGAGGAATATACAATAATTTTAAAGATGCAGTAATACTGATCAGTTCATTGGCATTTAAGCATGCGTGTAGTACTCAGTTCCACTCCAGAGGGTGACAGACTACATAAGAAAAGTGTTGTACTAATGGGTAAAATTCAAACCCCAGATTAAATGGTAAAGGACCAGAAATTAGAAGGGTACTCTAATCCTTCATGCTGCCTCTCTTGAACTGTAAGTACATGTGGGTACTAATTACTACTGGCAACATGGAATTCTTCCTTAGTTGAGTATCTGTTTGATCCAATGACTGGAGTAATATTGCAAGGAGCCTGCTTTGGTGAATCCAAGGGTGGTTGGAAGGGGTGGGGGTGTTGGAAGTGGGAGTCTGCCTGGGCCCTCCCTAAATTTGTCAAAATTATTTTTAAAATGGAGAAAAAAAAGGCTTTATTCAAACTTAAGTCTGCGAGCGCCATTTTCGGGTGCTATAATCACAAATTTTCTTACCTCAGCTCCAACCATGGTGGAGCAAAGAGTGGTTCAGATCCTTCATATGTGATAGTCCCTCCCCCTCTATTTCCTGGATCAGCCACTGTATTTATTATACATATTATTATTGTCATTATCACTACTTGCAAAAATGAAAGTGTAGTTACATTAATAATTCATATTAATAATTTAAATATCTATTTAAATATTAGTTATCCTCCTCCTGATATTGGAAAATTATAAAAGATTTCTCACCACTGGTTCAGTGATATAGACTTTGTCCCCTTGTTCAGCGATGCATGGCTCCAATTTGATGGGTGGGAGAACCTCGCTATCATCTACATAATATTTCTCCAACTGATTTGACAACATTTCTAAGATTTCACCTTTCAACTTTGAGTTGTTGGAAAGAGCTTCGTACAAACCCTGTAAACAACCATTGCAGTATATAATAATACTACTACAACTTAATTAATAATAACAACGATGAGCTGACCTGAGCATCTTAATTAGAAAATACAGCTAAACTCCACATACAACTAAAGTTTTGTATAAATATAACAATTTTTTATAGACATTAGTACACAAAACTTTGTTTTTTAACCAGTTCTAATATCACATAAAAAAAATCAATCCTAGGTTTTCTTAATTTCCAAAACTTGTGCATAAAGTCAATAATTCTTCATAATATTATTCAGAAGACTTATATTTGGCTGGGACTCAATATTACAATACTAATATTAATTATCAAGTCCTTAAATACTTTAAAGGTATGTATTGTAAAACTTGCCTCATAAAGGATCAATTTGACATCAGCTTGCTGGTTAAAACTCCGCCGTAAGCTTCCCAGGATCTCCGAGCAGACAATGGCCTCGTAGTCGGGTGATCCCTTCTGGTGGACGTCGACAAACACCTAAACAAACCTCAAACCTTAATTTCCTATTACAATGACAGCTGTATCATGCTGTTTGGCTGCACTGTTCTGGTGATTCAGCAAAAACAAACATACTTGCAACAAAAAAAATAGCAACCACAAAAACATTAGCAGCAACAAGAACAACTGCAACAACAAAAACATTAACAACAACAAAAACAATTGCAACAAAAACAATTGCAACAACAAAAACATAAGCAACAACAAAACTAACATTACAATAAAAACATTAGCAACAACAAAAACATTAGCAACAACAAAAACGTCTGCAACAACAAAAACATTAGCAACAACAAAAACAATTGCAACAACAAAACATTAGCAACAACAAAAACAATTGCAACAACAAAAACATCTGCAACAACAAAACAATTGCAATTTTGAAAACATAAGCAACAACAATAACATTATCAACAACAAAAACAATTGCAACTTCAAAAACATTAGCCACAAAAAAAAAAAATAGCAACAACAAAAACATCAGCAACAACAAATCTAGCATTACAATAGCAACATTACCTGAGATGACGAACAGGCTATTTGACTGCACTGACTGGACGGTAGACTACCATACACTTTGAAGTTCTTTAGAATCAGCAGATACCCAGTCGCAGCAAGTTTCCTCCCTTCAACTTGCCTGCACAAAACAGAAAATACAATTTTTGTTCCATAGAGGGCTCACTTCTATGGAAAAGTTGAGGGCCTTATAAAAATGTAGCTTTTTCTATAATTTTCTTATATATCTTATTCAATTCAATTTTTTACATTTAGCATTTTAATCCTTAAATACTGCTTTTGGAGAATGACAGTTATTAACTTCATATAATTCAAAAAAAATGTCTTTAATTATATATATATCATCTATGTTAAAAATACAAACTTTAAAAAAATATCATTAACATTGAATGCTCAGTTACTTATTGTGAACTTTTACAGCGCATAATTTAAGTAACACTATGTGCTTTTACAGCTGGAAGGATGAACTAAGTTATAACTTCTAATAAGACACAGCTTGTTTCAAAATAAACAGTATATTTTTAACCTAAGACTACTTTACCTTGAAAACAGGGCCTTGCGGAGCATAAGCATTAGAGCATCCTTCAACGTGATGCTGACTTTAACCAGCGGCTGAATCGCAACCAGTAAGCCCTCGGCAGTCTCTAACGGAAGTTGCGTCAGATAATCAAATGTTTCACGAATCTTCATTTGGAAGTCTAATGCTGACTGTGGCGAGGCATGAATGATGTTGGACAACAACTCTGTCATGAAAGCAATATTTACATTACTTATTTTGTTTTGAATAATGTTATCTTAGATACCTATTTCAAGGCAGTGTAGCTATATCAGTCTTCATAATTCAGATTAGATGCTATTGTCCTAATCCACTTCTTACATACAATAAATTCACATCAGAATTCACAATTCATTTAAGACTGGTGAAACAATAGCCAATCCAATATTTCAAATCATATATTATAATCAAATTATGGATAGTAGATAACCCTATCAGAATGCATAGTCTTAAGTTTTTGTCTTTCATTCAACTGTAAGCGCTGTGATACCCAGCAGATGCCTTGTGTATCTTGTTTATATCACTTGCATAATGAGCGCTATATAAATGTTCATATTATTTATTATAATTATTCACAGGAAAATAATGTACATATTGTTGCATTTGTATTGTTAATGCAGGTATTAGCAATTGACATTTCTTGAATAGTGGATAAAATCGGAATTACAAGACCGTAAGCACATACTTAAGTAATGATACACTGGATGCACAGAGCTAGTGATCAAGTGGTTAAGAACTTGCTCAAGGACATCCTGTCTCGCAGCTTCTTGCATTTTAAAAATCTCCTGTAGAATGGAGAGTCCAAGCTGGCAGGCCTTCTGGGTTGGGGTCAGTATGGCTGTTGGCTCTAATACAGGTTGGAAAATAGGTTATAATTAAGGCAGTGGCTATTGTTACACCAGTTTTAAACAAATTCAGAATTATGATTGGATGTTATTGTATGTATGGATTGGAATGCGAAATAACATCAAATCAATGCTACAAATTTGTCTAAGACTGGTGTAACAATAGTCACTGCATTATTATAATTAAACATTCATCAATTTATTTTTAAAAAAACCAAATTAAATGTCAGTATTACATTAATATACAAATATTGACTGTTCATGAGGGGAAAGAAGAAATCTATTGAGCCTTCAGCCGTTGGGAAGATATGACTACAGTCTCCACATCACCAAGGGGCTATAGATTTCATGCGCACCTAATCAACCGACTAAAACAACCGACCAGCAAGTGGCATCGTAACTACGAAGAATGTGTCGAGTTTAGGGAAAAAATATCAGACCGAAAATGCATGTAAAAACAATGTAAATGTATTCATTTTATTGATAATTATATTTGCTGTACAGTACAGCAAAACAATAGGTACTGTTTACTGTATGTATGTTAACTTTTCATAGGCTAGTCATACTGAACCCACAGGACACTTGCTAGCTAGGCATAGGCCTATGCCTATTACAGTGGCTAGGCCCTAGCTGGCCTACAACAAGCTTGTTCGGAAAAGGTTCAATAGATATGTTACACTAATCAAACTTTTTTTGGAAATGCAACATCGTAATGGGTCACAAGGGGGGGGGGGGGTCGGTATTGGGCGAGTGCACTTTATTATTTCTCTACATGTAAATATTGTTGATTCTTGTTGATTGCACTGTATAGCAATTGAACGTCCATCTGCAGTATTCCTTTGATCTCTTGTATCTCTTTGATCTATTGTATGTGGAGATGTCATCACTTCGGGATGATTAGGTTCTTTCTACTTACGTTGTACAGCTACTCGGCCACCAAATGCTGATTTTGGTCCGTACGACTCCATTAGAGAGAAACCAAGCTCGATCAGACCTTGAGTTACATGGTCCCAGCCCATTGAACTAATATTAGAAGAAAAGGCAGATTATACTCCAATATAAATTATCAGTCAATCAGTAGAATTCATCTTTAGAACAATATTGTCATAGCATATTTTTGCTGTCACCACAAACATGCAAAAAGTATTTTGTGCCTGTTTTTGTAAAAAAAAACAAAAAACACCATATTCTAAATTACATGTGACAACTGCTTTTGTCACCAGTCACTTCTGTTCCTGCTTTTTTAAGTGAAAGTCCTGTCCATTGCTCGATGACAACACATCCATTTCTAGGATTGTGTTGGGTTTACTTTGGAAAAAAAATGGGATATACAATAAAGTGGGAAAAGTATGGGACAGCAGGTGGCACAGATATACTGATTGGATAACAAAGATATTACACCTGGCGCAAGTTTAGTTACCGTGGATACTATCTTATGCAAAAAAGTAATCTTACCTGTTTTTAACAATACTCAATATGTCTGCGTCAATGTCTGGAATTTTTGATGCAATTTCTAAACCAAAAAAATATGAAAAATATGATTACTAATCAACTTGACCTTAGGAACTAGATATCTTTAAAAATCTAGTTAAAAAACATTAAAATCCTAAACATTATCTTATTATTATCTAATATTAGTAGACAAAATTTACTGAATTTACCTCACAAAATTCAATTTCTAATATTTGCTGAGTGTGCTTTTCTTGCCCTTCCCCATAATGTATTTATCCCTGCCACATTTATTTTTCTTTTTATTCTTACACACTTAATATAAACTACTTTACCTTCAATAAACTTGGATTCGTTGTGTTTTTCAATATCCTTGTAGCATCTAAATATAGAAGTCTTCAAAATTGTGATCATCTGTTAAAAGGATCGAGCAACTTCACATCAAATGCATGTAGCCGGTCGGCTTGATAATATATGAAAGAGTAACATAGCTCAATCCGCAAAAACTGTGTGTTAATACAAGTACAGTGTACAAGAAAGCCCATCATCTTTTTATCGTCTTTTTGGATGGGGACATTTAAGCCATTGGCCCCATGTGCACAATGGCCCATGTGCATGTTAAAGAATGCAGTACACTCTTTGGAAAAGAGTAGGGGATTGTCTCCTGGTGTACTGTCCAATCACCACCAGAAGGATCCCACTGGAAATAAGTCTTCTTCAGACTTTTGTGGGTTATCCTTGGTGCTTACACCGAATAAATCCAATCAAAAATACAAATTAATTTTTTTATGGTAGTGGTTGTGCTAACAGGCTGAAAATAAAATATTATTTTCATTTGGATTTAGCAGGTGATGGGTTCGCAAAACAAGGTATAAAAAGTCATTTGATACTATAAAAGATAACAGTCCAAATATAAAAATTTCTACCACATAGTAACATTAGCGTTATAGAATTTGGGTATAATGTTGGTGCACATGACCAACTGACCTGTTCAGTGAACGTATGTATCCTGGAGATGGCTAGAATGAGTGCAGTGGTGAACGGTTGAAGCACAGCACTCGGATCACCTTGTTGTCTATCCTACAAGTTCAAAGAATAGTATGGTATGAATATAACTTTCTTTATTAAAAAAGCAATATCGAAAAAAGTTTAGCCAACATTTCAAGTGCTATTAACAACCTTTCTCAAGGTTGAATGACCTGCTAGACGTTCTGCCGGTTTGGTCCGAGACTGAATCAAATAATATAATTTATATTGGCTTCAATTTAATGCACTTGTCTGTGTATTTCGTTGTGATAAATGATTCAATAATTATTCAGGATTGTTTAAATAGTAATCATTTTGGTATCTGTTATTTAAGAGTATATCACATTATAGCACTTTTGTCATTTTCCTCCAAAAATAAATGTTAAAAGTTTCCAATTTGAATTTGTTTATTCAATAATGGGTTTCTTTAACATCAACAACACCACCACCACATTTCTATATATTTTATCAACTGACCAGGAGTTCAGAGTGGACCAACAATGGTGCTGGGCTTTTCTCATCCATTGTTGATAATTCGCATCATTAACATCTCAAATTTGGAAAGAATATATAAACCACCATCACCAACAGAATTAACACCACAACCAACTCTTACAGCAACATCATCAACACCATCGTGACAATAACAACAGCAAGATCACATTGCACTAAATATAAATGGTTGTACCTTTAAGATTCGGACCAACTCTTTGCCTAGAGGCTGGTTCTGTCTAACTGCAAATGTCACATGTACGATGACAGTGCCTTCAGTGTGCTGAATGCTTTCATTGGTCACTGTTGACACACTAACAAAACAAAACAGAAATAATTACCATGTGTGAGTCACCTAAAGAACTGTGTTATTAAATTATTACATTTTGTTTAAGAAAAAGGGTTATAAGGATTGGATTAGCTATAGCAGATAGATATGTAATGTAGTTTGTAATGTAGTTCGATTTATATAGCGCTTTATACCAGAGTCTCACAATGCTGTGGACTAGCTCGTACAGTATCTTCTCCCCTAAGGGTCTCTTTATGTCTGAGCTACCCGGTAAACCGGTACCAGCTACTCACGTTGGTCCACAACAGGGGCTGTATGGACCAATACACCGGGGTAAACCCCTACTCATCTCGAAAGATGTACTGGGTTCTTTTAAGTGCACACGAGCCAAATGTGTACACTGGGCCTACAGTTTATAGTCATTGTCCGAGAAGACTTGTTCCACCACCAGAACCATTTTTAGGCGGGTGTGCCGTTCGAACAAGCATTGATGTGTTGGCTGTATTTTGCAGCGTCCCTACACTAACCGCTCGGCCATCCAACTCGCCATTACTCATAAGACAGGCACTTTCTATAGTCAGCCTTCTCAGTCACAAGTTATTTTTAAGAACACATTTAATATTGTAATTCAGCAACAAATCATACCACCACATCACAATCTTTTCTCATTTATTGTTGTCATTTTCCATTGACTATAAATGTGTGGTAACAATTTTGGTCAGACTCCAAGAACCTGTATGCTATGGCAGGGAAATGTGCAAATTACCTGAATATGTCTTCACTTTCTTCCATTTTATCTTGCTTCTCAATGTTGTTAAAGAAGTTAAGGATTCCTTGCAGCACTAAATCCTTATGACCCTGGTTAAATTAATAAAAACAAACATATTTTAGCACCCGTATTCATAATTAATAATAATTCATACATTACACTGTACACAATGACGGCAAATCTTACAAAACTTACAATAAAGGAATACTTTTAAAAGGATGGGCAACTTACCCTTGTTGTCAATACAAGTAGTTGGTAGATTAGGGGTGGTACTTCCTGCAAATTCATAGTGGGGAGTCCCCTAATGACCTTCTTAATTACAAATGCCAACTGTTCACTCATCATGGGGATTTCCCTTCAAGAAGAAACATAAATATTAAATTTATATCTAATGAATAATAATAACCATGTATCTATATTAATGGTGCAATATCTATTACAAACTAATCAAGAAAAAATAAAAATATTATTAAAAAATATAATTAATTTATAATAATAATAATAATAACAATAATAATAATAATAATAATAATAATAATAATAATAATAATAATAATAATAATAACAACATAAATAATTAATTTTGTACACTTTCTTACCTGAATATTGAAGTCAATGGTAGGATACAATGTGGTTCCCACCTAATTAAAAAATGAAATTGATAATATATTCTCCTGATGATTTTGATACTACTATCATATTTGAATGCATTTTCCGAAAATATAACCATATAGTAGTTGGTGTAATGAAAAATATTATTTCAAGAAAATCTGTAAAACAAAACAAAAATAAGGAAACATACCTGCTAGAACACAAGTTGTTCAGGACACGATCCTTGAACTTTGACCCAGACATGTTGCTGTTCCCATGTATAACATTATCCCTTGCAGCAAGTGTTGATAAGATCTTGGGTAATAATTCAAAAGCCCTAAATATGAACAATGAAAAAAAATATATACAATAGGAAATTATGTTTTAAGAGCCTCTTCGAATATCAAGAGTATTGTCATTTAGAACATTTGTACATACAATACTTACTACTAACATCTGGCAAATATGTAAACTTTTAATTTGATATTTATACATGGACATAATAGAAATGTTTGATGATGTTTTCAAGTCAATAACTAGCAAAAATGTAATCAAATTTAGCTCTATTTGCGATTGCACAAAGTAGAGATGATGTAAGAAATAAATGATGGTAAAATTTCAGTAGTAGTATTATTATCAATCAATCTACATCAGAAACTATTATACTAAACAATATAATACAGATAGCTTATAATAATTATTCTATATATTTAATAAATAATACCTTCCGCTTGCTGGCTCTTTACTTTTTACAGCTTCGATGTAAACATCAGATAATTCTGCAAGGCTACTGCTAGAAAGCTTGTCGGTCTGAAAATAACATAAAACTATAGATTCATGGAAATTTATAATAGAATCACTTAAACTGCTGCGGGATTTTTAAAAACTTTATCACATATTTTGGTTTTGTTGATCATTTGAGTGTTGCCATCCGAAAGCCAACATACTGTCACTAATTGTTATACTGAGTAATTAGCATAAGGATATCCTTTTATACTTCAGTACAAAGAAGCTGTAATACTTTTACTCATAACTTTGGCAATAATAGTTAGATTCTAGAAAATGACCCATCATTTAAAGCTTATAATGTGGAAAATAAGAATATACTCACAAAGTCAATTTTCATTTTGCGTCACTGATACAGGTTTTGGGATGGCAAGCCTTAATAATGTTATGTGAATTTTACATATTGATTTGAATAATGAAATAAGTTTTATCTCTTTTTACTACTTTCATTAGTTTTCAAGTGTTTTAACAATGATTGCTCCTGGACCCTGTCAGAGAAGTTTTTTTTAAACTATATAAATAAATTGATTTCTCACCTCTACTAAGAGAAAGCCGATGACATCTGTTGCAACCCTGATATTAACAGCTGAATCTTGCAACAATTTAACACTAGCTGTAAAAATAAGGTGTCTTGCTTTCATCCCATTGTCGTCCTTATCACAGCCTCTCAACAGCGCCCTCAACAGGGAGATGGGATCACCTGCCGTTCCAATCACCCGTCTTGTTAACATCTCTGATATCTTCTACAAGAACATAAATTATGATTTTGATGATAGTGATAATAAATTTAGTCAAAACAATGACTAAAATGGAGGTAGTATTTATAAAAAATTATGATACTTTTACTAAAAATAATATTAATAATATTGATAGATTTCACTGTTTTTCACATTTAATATAGAACAATACATCGTACTGATGGTACTAACTGGTAGTTTAGCGAAACTGTTTACACTGAAGAAAGTACGCATACTGGTTTTACTTAGAGGAAATTGCTCAATGATAATATACATATAATTATAAGTAGTAGTAGTAGTAAGAACCAAAACACGCTTGCACTATATCACAAGGGTTTTTACATCGAATTGAAGTTGCTGGATTATTAGACAGTTTAAATTTTACAGTGCTTCAATAATTATTAAATTGCTGGTGTTTTACAGTAAAACATGAGCATAGGCTGGGGGTGCCGACGCAATCGCACCCACCCCCTTCCCCTTCTGGGATTTAGTTCCTCATTCTTATTTTTTGGACCCATCACAGGCTGAAACCAGCCTATTTACATGCCCCCTGTATACGATCATATACACACATTTATAGATGGTATTAGGGGAAAATGGTGTCACTTTTAATCATGATGGAAATGTTAGAAAAAATTAGTCCCACACTTAAGAAACTGCACTGCTTCCAATCAACCAGCAAATTAAGTTCAAAGTGCTCCTTTACATATTTAAGTCCTTGCACCATTCTACTCCACACTGCATACCAGAACCGATCACACTCCGTTCTTCTAAATTAATAAGGATATTAAGATCCACTACATCTATAACCCTTCATGTGCCTACCTGTCACTTGAGGTTGTTTGCCCCAAACAATGGAATTCACTTCCAAAATCCGTTCAAAAGTCTCCTAATTTAATGATCGTTAAGCACCGTTTTAAATCATTCTTATTTGACATTTTCTAATTTTCCTCCACTCTCCTGTTTTGTTTTCTTTTCAATTTTGTTCTGTTTTCCTATTCTATCACTTTCTGTTTGTTTTTCTTTTAACCACTTTTCTGTTTGAACATCTATTCATGTTTTTTTTTTTTTCTTTTCTGTTGTTTTGGAGAGCATGTTATATGCGCTATACAAATGCACAACCATTGACCAATGATGATTAATGTGATTATGAAAATGAATGACAATGCTTCTCGGCTTACCTGAGTGTCAATCAAGGAGGTGACCTGTTTGGTAAGGTTTTCAAATCTACCGCATTCATAGAGGTTAACTATTTTCTGATCCATCTTGTTATAGTATCTTCATATGTCTGTTGTGAAAATGTACAAAAAAAGCCTCATTTGAGATAGGAACATGCATGGACTGGGCCTAGGTTTAGTGCATTTTTATAGTTAATGGTCTCCTCAAATTTACAAAACAAGAGGCATAGGCCTAGACTAGGCTAGTCGGCAAAATAAACACTTTGATGATACAAGGCTAAAGCCTCAGTCTCAGTGTTCAGCATGGCCCCTGCATAGCCTAACTAGTCTAGGCCTAGCTAGTTGGACTTTTCCTTCTTCTCACCCTGGCCTGACTGACAAAGCTCTACTCTACCACGGTGATTCATCTAGGCCTAGGCCTACCCCCTACGTACGACTGTGGCACTGCCAGTGCCAACCAACCTAACACTAAGCAGGCCTAGCCTACTGGGCCCCTAACTAAACTTCCTCACCTGCCCTTAATGACACAACAGCAAATAATCAACGCAAACGTTGTATTTTACCTTACAGAAATGTTAAAAATTTACCACGCTATATGAATGTGTTATTATACCAGGGATTGTTATTTTTATACTGTCAACTCTTCAGATTTCGCGCGGAAGTAGAAATCGGTCGTCATTTTGGTCTAATTTTGGTGGAAGTGCGCCCTCATAAACTACACCTAAGTTGCTTGCGCAACAAAGATAACTTTCTACCAGTCGCATTTGCAAACTGATACCTATCAATAATAAACCTTGACGCTGTATTAACAAGGCCGTAGAAGCGGTGAGGCTGGACGGTCTTGTTTTGGCCGGACCAATATTTCACCAATCAATATCGTGTGTATGCAAAAATTGTTCTTTTTTTTAATTTTTTGTTATTTTGGACTTACTTAAGGTCATCGAGGTCTGAAACTTTTCTCCATGTGTAAACTATGCATGAACACCCACAACCCCATACACCAACCACATGGAAAGAATATTTTTAAGGGATTGTGTGCAAATCGACTACGAAGTAAGTGAAAAAAAAGAATTTTAAAATATTTGCAATTTTTTTTTTCAAAAAGCCCTTTTCAAAAACATTTCAAAAAAATTATTTTTCATGGAAATTTCAGAAACTTTTATTAATTTGGCGTGATCTCTTCGTATTAAATAAAATCCACTTTAAAAGATACAATCAGAGCACAAATTATATTTCATAGGATACATCTTTTTAATACAGTTTGTCCTCCCATTCGAGACAATTTATTATAATACTCCGTAACGGTAATAAAATCAGATACGTAAAATGTTCACTTTAGAAACACCAAAACAGTTCGACTACTTCTGATCTTTGTCAAAACATAGCATGTTTGATAATTCAAGAAATCAAACAGTTGTAAACCGTTGTAAATATACCGTAAAACCTTGAACTGAAGCCCAGTTAGTTTAATCTCGAGATGAAGCCCACGAATTCAAGCCCCCACCCCCACCCCTCCACCTATCTTCTTTTTGCAAAAACAATATAAAAACAAAGCTTGGTTTATACAGTAGCTCAGGTGATTTAAAGCCAGTTAAATTCACTCCATGATATAGGCCTAGATTTATGTTACAGTGGCCTTATTTATTATTTTATAGTACAAATTCACAAAATGTACAGCATTCATTTTGAAAACGAAGCCCCCTCTTTACTCTGCAAAAGTAGCCTCGAGAAGAAGCCCCTCCAAAGTTCGCAAAAAAGAAGAGGCCCAGGGCTTCAATTTGAGGTTTTACGGTATGTTAATTTTTTTAATATATCTCTATTTACGCCGTTCATTTAAATTCTGTATAATGTTTTTATAGTCGATATATGAATATACTAATGCCAAACAGTTTTAGTAGACTTGAGGATTTGTATACCGAAATAAATAGTCCTATATAAACCTGATATAAACCTATTGAATATAGCAATTCATTAAATTGACTACTAATATAAATTAGAGATTCTTTTCATGTAAAGGTGCATGACCATTCCACATAATATTATTATATTATAGCTTGAGGATTGGTATACCGAAATATATACATAAAGCCTGTATTCAGGAATAAAGCACATAAGCCTAACATAGGTCTATTTAATACAGTAATTTATTAAATTGACTACTAATCTAAATTAGACGTTCTATTCGTGTAATAAGGTACATGACCAATCCACATAATGATATCTCAGACATAAATGAGATCTGCAGAGACGATAAATTCTGTGAGTTTGGATCTTGTATATGAAATAAAGCGCCCAATGTTCAAATTACTCAATGATAATGATGATATTCATGATGATATTAATAATAGTAATATTAATAATTGTTAGTCCTATTATTATTATTAAAGTAATAATTATAATAAAATCTTCAAATTACTCAATGATAATGATGATATTCATGATGATATTAATAATAGTAATATTAATAATTGTTAGTCCTATTATTATTATTAAAGTAATAATTATAATAATATTATTATTATTATCATTATTATTATTATTATTATTATTTTATTATTATCATTATTATTATTTAAAAAGTTATTCACGTTATCTACTCTGGTTTTCATGGTTGTGCTGTTTTCTTTATATATTGTTGTTGCAAAAATTGTACATTTTGTCAAAAATAGTTGGTATTAGTCAAATTGATATTATATGTTAGGCCTATGGTAAATTAATTATTATTATTATAATAGTCAACCCATTCACTTTTAATACCGAATGCACAAAATCCAGGATGTTGTTATCTTTTTTTCCATTTTGTTGAGGTGGTCTTTAATAACCAACACAAATATTTAATAAAACTTTTGGAAGCGGTTAATGATATACAGTTTTACATATACAGTTTTATACATTCGTTGAGAGCTATGCCACGATGTATTATTATGTCCTTTATTCGAACACTGTATTTACCTTTCTTTGATGATTTATATATATATAATTTAATAGTGTTGACGGCTATCTTGACAGATATTTGATGAATTTGGGTGAATTTTATTAACTGTCGCCTCCACTGGTAATAACGATCTCTGGAATGGATGTGTGTTTGTGAACTGGGGTGGGGAATTCTTCTCGTTGGCCGGACCAACATTGAACTGCTTCCTATGGGCCTGATTAATAAAACTTGTTGAGAAATAATGCTTGTCGCACATACCGCAGGCCTAGAAGGTGGTGATGCAATGATAATGATGAAGGGGTATAATCAACTTTATACTGATGCTATTGATATAATGACGACGACGATGATGATGACGAAGTTGATAATGATAATGACGATGATAACGATTATGGTGAGTTCTAAGAGGCCTAGGCCTAATATTCATGATGATGATAAATGTGAGGGGAAAATCTTCCAAAATTAGAATACTCTAAAAATACATCATTTTTAATTTCAAAATTTATTCACTCAAAACTTACTAAAAAAAATGTATTATATAGGCCTATCATGACAAAACTATATTAGGCCTATACAAAATAATGAAATACTTTAGTTGTGCGCTTTTTTCAAAACATTAAAACAAATGATGTTCAAATACCAGTAAAGTTCAAATATGTTCTATTTTACTGTAGCCCTAGGTCTATATATAGATTATGTTATACAGATCTCAATCTAATTAAAGACCGCCTGCAATCAAAAACCATTTTTTGTGGTCCCCACTCAGCAGAGGTTTTTTTTTATCTTCATAATTTTAATTAGAGACCAAAGCTGCAAAAGATCATGGGAACCCCGGTCCCAAAAGTGGTCTTTATTATTGGAGGGAGACTTGGTATTTATTTTCTGGGAATACTGTTATATGATAGAGAATTGATTCATTGCGGAAAATGCCTATATTCTGAGCTTTTAATTAACATAGGCCTACTGCAACTGTGCATCCGAGGACATTCCGAGATAGTTCATTAACTCATTCATGTCCATGTTGTTAAAATCGGGAACAAAAGAAATTGTCTGGGACATGCCGTTCAGCGTTATGTCTTGTCCGATCATATCGGCGCCCATTATATTAAAATCTTGTCCATTGTTCATCTCTTCACCGGCCTCAAGATACTTCTGCCAGTCAACATCTTCAAAGCTCTGTCCGGCTGATGGCACGAGTCCATTATTAGAGAATTCTTCCATGGCTTTTGCGGCTATTTCATTTGGATCAAGTCCGGCGTATTGCTCGACGATTTTTTGCCAATATGCAGAACTGAAGTTGTCATAAAAGCTGGTGCCGGCGTCCGATTCTTGTTTCATCACAGGAAGTGCAGACGATACGACGATTGCCGTCATGAAGACCACCAATGGAATCATTCTGTTTAAAATAGATACAATGTTGAAATTACTTAAAAATATACAATATAAAAGTAAAGGCGCATTACACGAATAACAGCCTCCCCCCCCCCTTCCCACTCATATCATATCTCGGCGATATTAAGCCTACTATGAAATTACCATATTTATTCGAATAAACGACCCGCTTTAAATAAACGCCCCTCCAATATTCCCCCTCTCTAGAGCCTCATTTGAAATAAATGCCTCACTTGAATAAACACCTCGTGGCGTTTATTTATTCATTGAATTATTTAATGGAAGCAACATGTATGAGTCCATTTAACACCAAAAATAGATAAACGCCTCCCTTGAATAAACGCCTCCCTTGAATGAACGCCCCTCAAAAAACCCCTTCTCGGATAAACACAGTACAATCACACTTGTATTGTGTATGAGGTGGAAATGAAGAATATTCTGGTAAATTAATGATAGGCCATATGGAGTCATTATGAAATGCGTGGAAAGCGTCTTACGAAAGACGGAGAGGATGGAACAGGCCCATAAGATTTTATTCGAGTGCGAATTATTTGCTATAAAGTTAGCGGCTTACTGAACACTACCAGGGAACAAAAGTGTGATGCCCTTTCAATTTGTTCGTATCATAAAATGAGAATCCAACGTTTTTATTATATTATAAGGGTTTTCCAGATTTTAGTAGAAACGTAGGATTCCCATAAGGATGATAAAATTCGCTAAACAATTGGGGGACAAAAAGACAACAATATTAACACATAGAAAATCATAAAGAAAATATACATTACCGTTCTCTATCATAGTGTTTACATACAGTTAAAATATTCAATATGTTATTTACAGGCAAGTTATAGGCAAAATTGTTACACACAGTTAAGATCAATATGTTTACAGGCATAGGCAAAATTCAAAAGCACAGGACGACTTTGTCCAAGTGGTTCTTTTAATAAATAGAAGTTCTTCTTACACAACATTTGACTATAGAAAAGGCTTTAAAATATAATAAATTAAATAAATGTGTAACTTACTTCTCTGAAAGATGGAACAATCTGATTTAATGTAGGCTGACGTGGACGTAAGAAACTGCTGTAATAAGCCGAAGGAAAGATGCGGCGTTACCAATAGATGCTTTAGCAAGTTAGATACCCCTTACCGAGTGGTACGTGCATTAAATAAGCTGAGTTCTCAAGCGTTTGCAACTCCGACCAATCAGATGGAATTGCGATGACCTCATTGATATAAATAAATATCTGACACCGCCTGTCTCCAAAAACAAATCCAGGCAGGTTATCGGAAGTGTGCTACAGTAACACCAGATTCAATATATTGGAAAATAATTTGCTAACGCTAATTTCAGTGCCACTGAATTAAAATTTGTTTCATTATTTTATTTACTATGCTTTATTCATTCTATTTTTATGAATAAAGTTAAGGCGAGATAGATGAACATGGAATATAACGAGCAAGGAGTAAATTCTGGTTGGATTATATTCTGTAAAGCTTAGGCAATACCAATGTCATATCACATACACCCTCATATATATATCTGTCTCTTATACACATCATGTTATAC